CACTCCTCTTTCTCCAGCGACCAAATGGGATCCCCTCGCTCGGGATCACCTACTCACGAAGGGCGGGTATGGAACACGTTACACAGACACGTCTGAGAAAGAGGAGTGGGTCTTATAATCCCCAGAGTGAATGTCGTTGGACATCGCCTTCCCCAACGTTTCGTGCCCTCTACCCCCATTTAGAGCGGGATAGAGAAGGGGGTCGTACCAAAGAAGAATTCTGGACAAGATTATTCAGGCTGCGTTTATACTTTGCGGCAGCGTAGCGTAGCGCTTCCAGCGTACGCCAGCGGCAGTGTCGGGGAAGGATAGATATCGATCTAGCGTTCCCAGCGTTACACAGACACGTCTGAACTCAAGTGTGTCAACATGCAACTACCATAATGAGCCGATTCAACTGCCTAGAAAGTAATAACTACAGGCTCATGTCAGTGCTCGTCGCCGCAACGCGGACCTCCTGACGTAATTCCGCACCAAAGCAATCTCTAGCTGATGTGACCCGAGAAGTTCCCTGGTACGCTAGAGTTCTGAAGCCCCACCTGATTACATATTCATACAAGCAATTTCAGACTTTCAACAATAAAAACTATCGATGATAGTAACACTCACCCCTATTTTCTCGAGGAACGCCTCTATCCTCCCAAGAGCGTGATCGGCACTTCCAGGACCTTGAATAACGAACCCTAGAGCTATTGTCCCTGCATCAAACCTTGGTTCAATCGAAACAGCATACCCTTAACAATGAAATATTGTTCAAATAGATAAAACAGAATAGGAAAGTTCTATTGTATTCGTATAAATAGCCACTGATTGATTACTGAAATGGTATTTTTCATATTCTGAGTAACAATGTCAAATAAATTCATGAAAGTTTGGATCGCCCAGCTACAAAAATTGCACACCCGACCTCTGATCCCCTAGGTGTAGTGGCAAGTGGCTTGCTCTATAGAGACAACTCTAATTTAATCTGAATTCGGAAAAACCAGGGATCTGATCAGAGATCAAGGTGGTTGGATCATCGGGAATTTTCCCGCCCGGCCTGCCATCCTCCTCGACCACCGCGAGGTGCTATAGAAGGAGCCCCCTCGACGCACCGCACTCGGTTATTGACATCCTCTTCTAGCCTCTTACTCATCTTCTACTCGCCTTTCTCATTGTCCCTTCTCACTCCTATTAGTGAACATTTGATAAACTGTTGCTGAATAAGGTTTGATTACTCAAGTTTGCGGTACCCCAACAACTTGACATTATATCGTGTATCGGCCGCTTAGCTAAGGAGCCTGGAGCTGATATTCATTGTTCGATATTCCCTGTATTCTCCTTTTCTTCTACGACTATATTCTCTATCGGATCGCCAGCCTTCGGCGGGCGATCCTCCTTATGCGTGTGAACTGGGTCCCTGGCCTTTCAACCTGGTGGGTATCGCGCCAGAATTCCCCTGTGAGGCCCAGTCGGATCGCCCGGGTGTGCTGTTAGTCAAAAGAATTTTTTTGTAAATGACCAAACTTTACCGTTTCATCCCTAGTATATACCTCCCCCCCCCCGCTGCGCAGGAAGCTCTGATTTTATGGCACTTCTTTGGTTTACAAGAGATCGAGATAAGTGAATTCTTTGGAGCGAACGTTAGCCAATGGGCGGACCTACCTCACCGCGGGTGCGAAATTTTGGTAAGAACGATTTCGCTTGAGGCTCCGAAAATCTGTTGGAGAGGACGGTATACCACTGCATTAGTTAGTGGTTGTATGTTATTGGGACGATCTTTATAACAGTGAGAATTTCCACTGTGGAGTCAACTCACTGTGAGGATGCCTCGCTCGTTTGAACAGCGAATCCGCCCAAAACCATAAATTTGAGGAATGGTAACCAATTGCTAAGGGACACGCTCCGCCTGCTGTAGGTGGGTCCTGGCAGACATCTAGTACATCCAGCGTACATAGATCTTCTTCACGGAAGTTTGCCCTTTTCTCTAGAGCGCTTCCAAGTGTTTCGGAACCGTGATGAATTCTCCGGAGCGAGCGCTGCCCCTGTCGCTCACCTTCCCCACCGCGGGACTCTGCCGTATTCCAATGGCTGGCCTGTTGCTCACCTTCGTCTGTTTTTCCAATCCCTTTACTCACTTTTGGACCTTTGAGGATTTTTGTGCTTGGCTTCGGCGGACCGCCCACTACTTTCCTTATTGGTCGACAAACGGACAGACAACTTCTGCTTTATATATAGAGTATGGTATGAGGCTACAGTATTCATATTCTACTCTCTATATCACACTGCATTATTTATAGTCTATCCACGCGACCTGCAGCAGCAAAATGGCATCAAGTACAGTCCTCATCATTGCGGACTGTCGGAGGCGGCTGTGCAGCGCGGTCCAAATGGGCGTTCGGCCTCGTTGCTCTACCAATGGCGATCGGGTAAAGATCGATTTAGGGAGGGAGCAACCAGATGGAAACGCCGCAGGTGCGAGCCGCTGATTGCGACCCGACAATTGCGGCGATGTTAAGAGTCGTTCGGAATTTTCATTTATATCACGTCTTGTAGTGCACATCAAGAAGTAGCACCTTCTTCGTAAGATTTGATTCTGGATCCGGAACACTACAGCATCCTAGAACCTTCAATGCTCATCCGCTCGATTGGGAGCTTTAGTTGTCTTATGGGCAGATTCACGGAGGAAGTCGTTCAAGATCTCCACGAAAAAGAGGATAAGAAAAGTTACTACGCCCGGTAGAAGACGCTACTTCCTGAAAAGCTGGGGAAGAACTTGGAACTGGCAATCACCCACGCCGACAATGCGCTTGAGGCCTACACGGTGGCAGCAGACAAAGTCGACGCTGACATGCCTCAACTAGCAGCAGTATTCGAGGTCTCCGTGACCTCAATAACTGCAGAGGAGGCGCTATGTCGTTCTCAGACTTGCACAACAGAGATAGAAGCGATGTTCCAAGTCCTGTCTACCTGATCGAGTAGCTCACTAAAAGAAGGAGTCCCGCACAGCTTGCTCCATACCAGTCCCAAAGTTCAGCGGCAACGTTTGGAATAATGCTTTTGGGAAGCCTTTGATTCCTCCGTTCATAGCAGACGATTTGAAGATATTCACAAGATGAAGCACGACTTCTCTGAGACAATTCCAGATAAGCTGCTCCACGTACGCAATGGCTGTCGATTACCTGAAGAGGAAATACGGTAACACATCGCTGATTCTCAGTGAATTAGTAGGATTGGAAGGATGCCAAGCCAGCAGCAGGAACACTGAGGATCAGAGGAATCTACACGAAAAACATTCCTCCATCATTAAGCAGATGACGCTCAAAGGAGAAGCAATAGACACGCCGTACTTCAAAAACAGATACTGTCGAATTCAGCGAAAAAAATTATACGATACTTCCCCCAAAAGAAGCAGGAGCAATCCAGTGAAGGAATTTGGAGCACAAATCTACTCCTTTCAAGTATATGCGACTTCACCGATACCGAAGTGGAAATTAAGCACTACATGGGACCTTTGAACACACCTCCAGCGAGTAAAGAAAACACGATCAGTTCACGGAAGTCAATCGTAGATACGAAGGAAAGGAGAAAGCGTGCTTCTTCTGCGAGAAGAGAGGTCATTCCCCGAAGAGCTGCACTGAACACATAACTCGTGAGCAAAGACTGCAATAGATGAGACGCCATTCACTTTGCCTTATCTGTAGAGCGAGCTACAGTTCACAGGGCAAATGAATACACAAAGGGCGCCTACAGAATATGTGACCAATTCGGGCACCACACCTAGATTTGCCGGCAAATCACATCTCCGGAAAAGTGGCCAGCCTCTGCTAGGGAAAGAAGACTCTGAAAAGGTCTTTAGAACCGAGCATTCGCAAGAATATCAGGTAGAATTTTGTTTCTTGCTCAAAAGACAATATGAATGCCTCAAAAGACAATATGAATGCACGTCTTCCTTACCCGGGAGGAGGGAAGAACTCACCCATGCGCGTATGCGGCGCGGTTTCTTCACGGCGCCGCGGCGGCAGGGCGGAGCGAAAGGCGATGGCCCGCGTCTCCGGCGCTGTGCTCCAATCCAGCAGCCTCTTTTATGTGGAAGGAAGAGGAGGGAAAAGTAGAGAGAGGAAGGGAATTGAACAAAAGTGGGGGCATATGTGAGTTAGTGGTAGTGGTAGGAGATCACAGAAAAGTCGACTATCACGAACTACTTCAGTGAATGGCAGAACTGGCGGCATAGTTCCCTTCAGATTGTGAAAACTATGCAAGCGCTTCTAGAAACCTCAAGCTGTGGATTGGCAAATGCCAACGATTGGAATAACGCCACGCCCAACTGAAGGAAATCATTCCGCCCGTTCCGCTGTTGACTGAATTGATACGCTCTGAATCTCGATTTTTCTTCTCTGCACACCATTACCACTAACTCACCTATGAGCGTTCAGTATTTGTTGAATCTTCTTTTCTCTCCTCCTCCTCCTTCCACATAATGGGGCCTGAAAGCGGCTTCTGATCGAAGCACAGTGGCGGAGGCTCAAGCAATCACCCTTCGCCCGCCCGTCGCGCGGTGCCGTGAAGAAACCGCGCCGCATAGGGTGAGTTTGTACACAGAGCCTCCTTACCCAAACAAGACGACGGAGAAAGATTTGAACTGTGTATGGAAAAAAACCAGTTTATAAGCAAAGACAAACGACTGCGTTTTCATAGGGAAAGCTCTGGTCTTCAGCTCTACACAGTCGCTTGAAACGGTTCACATACTTCTTGTGAGAGGAGCAGGTCGATCACTCGTATATGATGAACTTGCAACACACCTTCGCCGAGAGAATAGATCCGGCTAAGCATCAACACATTCGGGAATCAAACAACAAAGGAAACGCTTTTTGACTTTTTTTCACTGCATTGCAAATATTCGACTCTCTCGGAAAATCCCACAAATTCCGAGTAGCTTGTATTGACCACATCTCTGAGTGTCTTCAACGATGTGCGTTAAGCACGGAGGATTAAGAATACATAAATAATCAAGATGTCCGTCAGTCACCATCACCAGCACGTACGTCCTCAAATCCTACTGGGATGCACGAGGTTTTCTCACTCACAGATGGGAATGACAAGCAGCCGAAATCTTCTACCATCAGAACTAAGGTTGACACCGTCACGACTAGAATACCTCGTTATCGGAGCAAGAAACGACTTTGAAAACAGCAACTTACTGGTCGCTGATACCCACCTCAATCAACGAGAAGAGAACAGTACATGGGAAGAGTTGCGCTACAATCTTACGGTTTTCAAGAGTTCTTGGGAACAAAGCCATGATTGAAATTCATAAAGACGGATACCATGTTCATCTACCATGGAAGGATGACGCGCACTTGCTTACAATACAAAATCGTCTGTGCACCTTGTACAAGCACCACACGAAACGCAAAAATTATATAAATACCAGTCGGCTCGCCGGCTAACGCCGGCGCGCCTCCTTCTGATACGGCCCGGCTGCGCGGGCGGGCGGCTTCGCCGCGCGTATTTTCTTTCACATATTTCTAGACTCAACTGATATCCGCCTTTTGTTCTGTACTCCACTTTTTTCCGGTGTCTGAAGTACTCTTGAGCTATTTTACAGATTCTTCGTCTGACTCCGCCCACCTCGGAGCAGGCTCCGCCCACAATGTTTTTGCCCCACTCCTCACCGGCGACCCTCTGCTGACCTTAATCCACGTTTTTTCCGGTCTTTGAAGTGCTCTGGGACAGTTTTGGAGAATTTTCGTCTGGCTCCGCCCACCTCGGGCTGGCCCCGCCCACAATATGTCTACCCCACATTTCTCAATCGGCGACCCCTTGCTGACCTGAATTCACTTTATTCCGGTCTTCGGAGTGCTCTGGAGCCGTTTTACAGACCTTTTTGTCTGGCTCCGCCCACCTCGAGGCAGGGCTTTTTTCCCGGCTGGGGGGGCCCACAAAGTTTTTGCCCCGCAAACCTCACCGGCGACCCTGTGCTGGCCTTAATCCACGCTTTTTTCCGGTCTTTGAAGTGCTCTGGGACAGTTTTAGAGAATTTTCGTCTGGCTCCGCCCACCTCGGGCTGGCCCCGCCCAAACAACATGTCCTACCCCACATTTCTCAATCCGGCGACCCCTCTGCTGACCTTAATCCACGTTTTTTCCGGTATTTTGAAGTGCTCTGGGACAGTTTTGAGAATTTTCGTCTGGCTCCGCCCACCTCGGAGCAGGCTCCGCCCACAATGTTTTTGCCCCACAACCCTCACCGGCGACCTCTGCTGACCTTTGTTCACTTTTTTCCGGTGTCTGGAGTGTTCTGGAACCGAGCTACAAACTTTTAAAATGAATACCCTGCAATTTAGGGCAAGCTCCGCCCACTGTGGGCGGGTCTCAACACACTTTGAGCGTGCCCTATATTCGCCAGATATTTACATTCTACAGTGACTGTATACATTCTTTTGCGACTTCCAAACACTTTCGCGAACACAGTGTACTTGGAATTTTGGCCGAGGAAGAACCCGCCCACCTTGAGTACGCCCGCCCATTTTGGATGTGTCTGCCACAGTTAGTCTGGCGACTCCTTACTAACCTTATTCTCTTTTTTCCCATCTTTAAGCTGCTCCGGAAGCGAATTATGAACATTTTTCTGCGGAACCCCAAACTTTCAGCGAGTGCCCCGCCCACTGTGGGCGGGGCTTCCCATAGGTCATGTGTGCTTTTTATTTCTTGTCCCATGCCCTACCCATCCCCACCTTGACCGTCCAAGTCGTTCTTCAGGTCGAACCGGAATTTCCGGGACAGACAAAACTCACGCAAACTAAAAACAAACAAAACAAACAAAACAAACAAACAAACAGACAGAGCAAATTATATATATAGGTGAATAGGGTGATATTACAGCAATATCATCAGACATTTCTGGACAAGCTCTGAAAGGAATCGTAGAAGAGCTTGCTCGCCATCAAGCCACTGAAGGAAACATTGTGCACTATCTCAGCCGCTAAGCAGTGATCAGGCCTACCAAAGAATTCACTAAACTGAGAGTCGTATTTGATGCATCAGCTCATTTCAAGAACAAACCCTCTCTGAACGATATGCTGTATCAGGGACCGGTGATACTACCCATTATGAGGGATATGCTCATTCGGTTCGGAATTGGACACATAGCCATGATAGCGGATGTAGAAAAGGCCTCTGTACAGGGCCACCCTGAACGTCAAAGACAGAGATGCTACAAGCTGTTTGTGGGTGAAAGATGTCACAAAGGAGCCTACAGGATCCAATCACGTCAAATACCGCTTCCCACGAGTCACTCGGCTCGAACCGTTTACATTCCTATTAGGCAACCAAAAAAGTTCGTGCGGTTTGAAGGTAGCGAAATAATCCTTACATTCTATAAACCACTAACTCTGTGTGTCGGTTTGTCGGTATGTATGTATGTATGTCTGTCCGTCCGCAAAATGCTTCACGGGTTCAAACACGTCAGTGTAGGAGAGTATACGACCGCTAGCCGGTGGCGAAACCAGTTGGTGCAGATGTATCAATCCAATGTTTTGATTGTGATAACACCCTGCACTATATAAGAGAACCATGTAGTGCACTCCAAACCATTGCACGAGCTGCTCGCGTGGGCCAAGTACTGTAGATTTTCGAAAAATTCCGGTCCTACACTTAGTGGCTTATGCCCGTGGCGCGTCAAAATACCCTAACCCACCAAGATCGATGAGAAGTTCTGGGCAAAGCTGGTAACATAAAAAACGGATTAAACTTGGGTTTATCCCGTAAAATAATTACCCTCGGCAAGAAATACACTTCCCTGTTTACACAAGAACATATATTCCATTTTTGTAAAAACCGCACGAACTTTTTTGGTTGCCTAATACTAGCAGGAACAATTAGACACCATCTTGAAAAAGGACACAAGGACCTGTCAGAGGAGCTTTGCAACTCTACGTCGACAACGTGGCACTCACAGCCTCCAGTGAAGATGAAGCATTACGAAAACATAAGATATCCAAGACGATCTTTAAGGAAGTGAACATGAAGCTTCGAGGTCACCTAAACAACAATGACAAAGTCAATCACGCAATTCCACTACGAAGTAAACAAGGGATTACAAAAGTTCTCGGAATTGTATGGAACTCAAAAGCAGACACTGTCGTCATTGAGGGGAAATTTGTGAACAAATAAGATTCTACTAACCAGGGAAGGTCAACAGGTCGCCATGGCCATTCAAGATGAGATGCATATCGACGTGTACGTCTCGGGACGCTGAACTCAAATCTGCTTTCCAAAATTTGCCGAACGATTCTCTATGAGGAGTTAGGGGGGGGTCGTTCTAGCATAGCACTCGCCGATCCTCCTTTGCGTAGCTCAAGTTAAGTTCGAGTACAGACAGTCTCAAGTGGTCGATGGTGTAGTGGATAGGTAAGTTGCTTCATAGATGGGAGGTCATGGGTTCGATTCCTTGACAGTTCGCACTTTTGCATTTTTTCGGAACATCTTCTGCGAGTTCAGAAAATACTTTTATCCGTTATTTGTCAAGCTTGCTCTTACTTGCAGCAGGAAAAGACTTAAATGCCGGCAATTGTGCTTCGCTTTCAAGACTTCAAGCTGTTATTGTTTGATAACTGCTGTTTAACGCCGCAGTGCGCGATCCGAAAGCTATCACAAGAATGCTGAGTTATGGGCAAAAGTCGGACCACGGACGGGATTCGAACCCGCATCTTCTGCTTACCGGGCAGTTGCGTTCCCTATTACGCTACCGGGGCCACTTTTGACCACTCAGCTCAATGGCTATTTGTGCCATAGCCTTACAGCACTCACACGTTCAACGTGATGAGCAATGGCATAAATATCCGGAGATGGGGGTTCGAATCCCGTCCGTGGTCCGACTTTTGCCCATAACTCAGCATTCTTGTGATAGCTTTCGGATCGCGCTTTGCGGCGTTAATAGCAGTTACAAAACAGCTTGAAACTTGTAAAAAGCCTTCAGCCTTGCGGTTCACTGCCGATATCGGCTAACCGGCTCATCACGTTGAACGTGTGAGTGCTCGAAGGCAATGGCACAAATAGCCATTGAGCTGAGTGGTCAAAAGTGGCCTCGGTAGCGTAATAGGGAACGCAACTGCCCGGTAAGCAGAAGATGCGGGTTCGAATCCCGTCCGTGGTCCGACTTTTGCCCATAACTCAGCATTCTTGTGATAACTTCAGGCAGTGTTTACCCTTTACTGCCCAAATCACCCGAAATCAGGCCAGTTTTTGACCGACTTTTTTCTTCGTAAGCAGAATTGGCTGAAAAGTTGCCTACTAGGGTAGTCTGCCTTCTGAACATGATTATCACATCCGCTCCTAGCACAGTGCCAGCGCCAAAATACCCTAGATCACCAAGTTCGCTGAAAACTTGTCAACTGGGTAGTTTGACCTCCTGGACACAGATAATCCCATTAGCTGAGCCCGGAAATGCCTGGCGCCGGCGCCAATACTCGAAATCACCAAATCACTAAACTTTTCAACTGGAGCAGTTTGACCTCCTGAAACACGAACATCACATCTGTGTGGGGCGTTGAGAATGTTTGGGATAGAGAAAAAGGGTAATGTGATTGCGCAACCTGCGTCTGCACCCCTCCCCTGAGATGAGGCCCTTTCTCTGCTAAGGCTGTCTTTGCAAAGGGAAGAATTTCTATGACAGGCAACCAGGAAGAGTGGCGCGTTGCCTTCGGCCACTTTGCCCAACTGCCCTAGCACAGAGCCCTGCACGAAAGCGACTGGAGTCTGTGCTACACGGGCCGGAGTCGGAAAAGCATGTGATGGGTCGCTTGTAGCGTCAGTCGGTTTCAGGCTGTACGGATGCCGTACGAACTTGGTGATTTAGGGTATTTTGGCGCTGGCACGGTGCTAGGAGGTTTCGTGCCGAGCGGATGTGATAATCATGTTCAGAAGGGCAGACTACCCTAGTAGGCAACTTTTCAGCCAATTCTGCTTACGAAGAAAAAAGTCGGTCAAAAACTGGCCTGATTTCGGGTGATTTGGGCAGTAAAGGGTAAACACTGCCTAAAAGTCTTGAAAGCGAAGCACAGTTGCAGGCACCTGCAGCAAGCAAGCTTGACAAAGTGACGGATAAAAGTATTTTCTGAACTCGCAAAAGACTCGCGAAAAAATGTAAAAGTTTTGTCAAGGAATCGAACCCATGACCTCCCATCTATGAAGCAACTTACCTATCCACTACACCATCGACCACTTGAGACTGTCAGTACTCGAACTTAACTTGAGCTAAAGGAGGATCGGCGAGTGCTATGCTAGAACGACCTCCCCCTAACTCCTCATAGAGAATCGTTCGGCAAATTTTGAAAGCAGATTTGAGTTCAGCGTCCCGAGACGTACACGTCGATATGCATCTCATCTTGAATGGCCATGGCGACCTGTTGACCTTCCCTGGTAATAAGACAATTTCTGAACATACCGCATCCATTCACGATTCCACGGGATGGTTCGCGCCCCATTTGCTCAAAGGAAAACCATTTCTTCAACTAATTTGGAGGGCCGGACACGACTGGGACACAGAATTCCCCCGTGCACGAAATGGAATGGAAGTTGTCAAGCAAATAGATAATTTAGAACGTATTCTATCAGGAGATGTCACTTCGTTTAGAGGTAAAGCTTGTCCTCTTCGCCGATGCCAGTGTCCAGACAATAGCAGCATGTGCGTACCTGGTGACAGGAACGAATTCGCACCTTGCTTTTGCAAGATCTAAGTTGGCAAATGTGAAACAACTCACGACAATCCCAGAACTGGAGATGCACGCACTCACCATGGCAAGAATGGAAGAATGGAAGATAAGGATGGCACACATGATGTATGCCAGCTCAATTGCTCGGAGTTTCCTATGTGACGATCTTCATAAACTCAGAAATCTCAGCTGACTTTCTATATATCCCATAGAAAGGAATCTCGGCTGCTCTACAAGGGAGACTTACTTGAGACACGTCAACTCAAATGAGAACCCAGCGGGCGGCGCCACATGGTGCCGCCGATTCAGAGGACCATATGTGGTGGACCGACTCACAGTTCCTGAATGCAGAAGGGAAATGGCGAAAGAAAAAGCAGTGGTCGGCCCATCCGAAGAAGTCGGTGAGCCCAAGACAACATGACTCGGAACGATTTTCCTACACCAACCTCGCCTACCATGAGACTGAAGTACAACAGCAACTAGATTGGAGAAGAAATACCATACTGTCGGCACTAGTGACAGTGGCATACGTATTGCGTTCGATTCGAAAAGTCTGGAACCAACTCGGTGGGCCGCTGGCTTCAAAAATTAAAGATCAGTTACCAGAACTGGACATACAACTCAGGCGCAGTACATTAATGCTGCTGATTTACGAGCCGCATTACACATAATCATCCGCAACCATCAGTTGATTGAGGTCACACACCGAAAGAGGAATTCTCTAAATAATCTCAACCTTCAACCGGATGATTATGGATTGCTAGAATGCCAAGGGAACAATGACTGAACAATGCGCAAATGCCAGAGCTAGCCAAGCATCCTTTCTTCGTATCCGCTAAGAGACTACTACCTCATTGTCTTGTAAGGGAAGCCTACATGTCTCCTCATCGAGGAACTTCGCACTTAATAGCCACGCTTCGTAGCAGGTACTAGATTCCACAACTTTCGTCGCCAAGTTCAATTTTTCTTGAATAGATGCGTTCCGTGCCGGAAAATGAACTCACCTCCATTCAGTATCCAGCAAGGGACACTCCCCGAACGACGCACAATAAGGACACAATGAGTAGGTTGGATATGATTACGTTGGCTTTTACAACGAAGATGAAAGAAGAACAAAACACATTTTCATGGACTCATAACCTGCATGACCACACGCCTTATGCGCTTGGGAGTGATCACGGATTTGTCCGCGGAAAAGCACTTTTGGCACTTCGAAGATTCTTTTCTCGCCAGGAAATACCGCGTAACGTCAGACAATGCACCATCTTACCACCTTGAAGAATTTTGTAGATAGTTGTCTCTGCTGTAAACGACGATCGCTTCCAAACTACAGTGGAGTGAAGAGGGATTGAGTGAACTACTATAACACCCTATGCTCCGTGGCACGGAGCGTTTCATGAAAGCCTGATAAATTTCATAAAACATTCCCTCTTCGAAGCCGTTGGAAGTCGGATCCTGACGAAAGAAGAACTCACGAATTTACTACACGAAAGCGATCGAAGCCTGAACACCAGTGCGCTCACCTATCAGGAGCCCATTTGAGGCACTGGCACCCCTGCGTCCCATCGATTTCATCGCCGAAGACACCAATTGTACATATCCGTTTGAAGCACCGCAAGTGAACTACGACGATCCAGAATACAATCTCCTCCTTAAGAGTCTGTCCGCCTCTGTTAATCGCAAAGCCGAAAGAAGGCACAAGAAGCCCCAACTTCTAGTTACGAAGTGACAGAGAAATTTTGGGCGTTTTGACAGATGAGATTCTAGATTAGAAATCTCAAAGAAGCGCAGAAAATACACACGAACAGCAGGAGAGTGGGAACACTAGTACCTCAAGAAGGCATGATGACACTGTTAGCAGACAACTGTCCCACGTAACTGGAAAATAGGACGAGTTTTTCAAGTGAAAAGGGGATCAGACAGTGCGATCAGAGAGGTGGAAGCACGCATGCCGAGTGGGAACATCCTACGGAGTCCAGTGAATCTGGTACTGCCATTGGAGTTACAAGAAGAAGTAAAGAAACACGCCCCAGTAGATGAACAACTCCAGCAGGAGAAGAAGGGTCCAAAACCCCGTCGCTGCAAGAGACAAGAGGTCGTTACAACTTGAGGAGAAAACATGACCGAAGTGTCACCATGCAAGTGTCATCAGTGCAATCAGTAGCCGGGAGTACAAAGACTACTTAATCTTAATTTGATTCCAGAAGTACCAGGGATTTAATCAGAGAAATCAAAGTGGTCAGATCATAGGGGATTTTTCCGCACGGCCTGCCACCGTTATCGACCACCCACGACGTTTCATAAATGGAGCCACCCCGACGCACCGCACTTAGTTATTGTTATCCTTTTCTAAGCACTTGCTCATCTTCTACTCCACGTTTCTCATTCTCCCTTCTCACTTTGGTGGACATTTAACACATTGGCGACAAGGCGCCTTTTCGCGTGTCTGCCGCGTGGGACGAAGCAGTTTTTCCCTATTTTCGAAGAATGCGCATAAATGCTAGGGCGTTTTTACACCAAAACACTTGAAGAAGGACTAGTTTTCAATGCAGAAGTTAGTAAGGCTTTGCTGTTCCTTTTTATCTTCAAGATAAGCCCTTAATTTTCGTGGAATACTACCCAGATACACGTGGAACGTGGGAACAAGGTCGCAAAAAAGGAATTTTTTCGCGCCAGAGGTGGTAAATTGGATTCGATCCAGATCTGCTATTGTTGAAAGTTACCTTATCACGTTAGCTATCTACATGTGGAGCTTCAGTTCTATTTATCCAAAATTACCTTTTTTCCCTAAGGAAATCACTTTCCTTTGTCTCCTCGTAAAATACTCCCAATGACACAACTGCTTGTTTTACAGCTACTGTATATTCTACAATGCCTTCCTGTACAATATGTAGCTGTTGAAAATTTGAAACGTTTTCAAATTGGTTTTTTACCCATGCCGCATCCCAGCAGTGGGACGCAATGTCCCACGCGGCAAAAAAGGTGCGTCCCAGCAGTGGGACGCAATGTCGCCAACGTGTTAATAAACCGTTGCCAAATAAGGTCTAATTATCCAATTACGAGGTACCCCAACTACTCGGCATTACGGGCTCACCATTCGCTAGGTGCTGCGTCTAAACCCCGAGTCGACTTCAGCCCAGGTAAACCAAGGCTTCTACCCTTCTACAGTAAATAGGCACCAGATTCGTCAGGGAATATAACTAGCTCCCGCAGCTCATTGTATAGGCCACATCGCATTCAATAAGCCACTACGATTCTGAATGGAAGTAGAATGCGTGCCGCATCCCACAAAGGGACTTGATCAACGGCGAAGACTTTACCCTTAAATACTCCTGATACCTTAGGTCATCTACTCTGTTGGGCTGCCTATTCGGTGCAGAAGCTGTCTTAAGAGGTTGAGAGAGACGCTAAGTGAATGTTGGATAACCAGGCACATTTACATTTTTGTACTGAACATTCTCACTGGAGTGCTTTTGTGTTTTATTTGGAGGGAAAGTTTTCAGCCATATCCTTCTCGGAGAAAAAAACCGCTAAAAATGGCCTCATTTTAGAGTACTATAGCGGGGTGGGGGGGGGGGCTGGGTGCAGCAAAGGGTAAGTAGAGCGAATCTCGTCTTATAAACTAAACTGTAAACTGAGAAAATGCAAAAAAGAAAGTAACTGGGGTTGAAAACGTTTACCAAGTTGTTCAACAGTCCTTAGTTGCGTGAATCCTGGTTCGTAGAGAGACTGCGCTATAAGCTCGACCAGCGCATTTTCTCTAGTATTCTGAAAAGGAGAAAATTTGTCGCTGAAAAAACTGCTCAATGTGATCTTCAGGAATATGAGTAGGGAAAGTGGCATAACCCCTGAGACCTGAACTCCAGCTTGAAATAACACCTCCACACCAAACACCTCGTGAACGTTCTGGAAATGTCGATACACGTAGGCATCACCTATAAAGCCTCACCATTAAGAAGCTATTAATAAGCGCTTCCGGTCATGAAGTCCCTCCGTGACTATGATCCAAAGCAAGGGATGTAAACTGATAAACAAACCGTCCCCTATAGCATGTTCTCTCGACAGTACATATTCGTTTCTGAACAATGGGCGACAGGTAGTGATGCTGCGTAGCAACTCTGTCACCGTGAGGCCAAGTGTCAGCGCTTCCTGAAAAATACTCGTAAAACTCGAGATGCCACATGAAATGTGCATTCATATGCATTCGTCATTATTTCTGTTTTTCATGGGCATATCGGTTTTTCGTCAAGACAAAAGTAGAAATTGCCGAGCATACAGCAGAACACCTCTATTCCGTAGAAAATCCCATCCTTGTTCAGTTGCATTCACTAAATTCCAAGCGAAGTACGAACATCTGTCACATTCCCCATCCTATGGCCGCTATTACCTCAGCTGCTCGAGAGTGTAAGCTGTCTTGTAAATTCTGGAAGTTTCCATGAGTCCTCTGCTAGGGAGAATCGGGGTCGCATTGGCCCAACTACACTCATCCCCGTTCCTAATCTTCACATGAAGCTCTTCTCACTTTTTCCGGAAAAAAAACTGACATCTTTTCGCAATGTGCAACACTTTCTCCAACCTTGCACGGCAGGAACATTTCGGACACCAAAGTGCCACGAAAATTTCTTAGATGTAGCTCGTTACGCTAGGTCTTCTTTGCCATGAAAACGGTACCTCTGCAGTAGGTCCTCTGAATTAAAGAAGACCTCCTTCATGGCCCCAACATTAGCCACTTTCGCTTTCCTGACAGGCCGACTCAACTGCGTTTCATTCTTGAAGGCAAAGTCCGCGATCGTTCGCCATCACAGAACTATATGGATCAGGGGTTTGCATCATGCTAAACAACTCGATGTGAAGAAAAATGCAGAAAAAAATGCCAACTGCCTTAGGTCAAACCCTATTTCGCTCACAGTTTGTAGGTACGCAACTAACTCCATTTCCAACATTACGTCATCATCCGCACAGCTGATTCTCCGATAGGAACTCTCCGACCGAACAAGTGAAGATTTTCTTACTTATTCGTTCAGCAGTTTTGTTTTCCGCCGAAAAGCGGGCCTTGGACGCGGCCTAGTCTGGAGGCGGGGTCACTGGGGAGGAGGTGCCATCGAAACTATATTGCGCTACAGTGTCCCTTCCTTGTAACATTTGCCGCGAAAACGGTACAAGGTTGTTCGTCGCGGAAAACAACGCTACCCTCCCGTCGCCATACAATACCGCTCTAGCTTGTAGATAAAAAAAATGCGGATTAATCCGCTGCAAAGCGCCGCAATTCGCCGCCACGCGCTGCACTGCCATAACTCCTCGCAAAGAAGGTGAAATGAAAATTCATGAGTATGGTCAGATTCGCCCCCACGTTGCGAATTCGAAATTCAACGGTATATGACCTTTTGAATTTCGGCTAGGTCATCAGCTTCTCCCTGGAAAACGGCCCGAATTCCATTTTTGACCTCTGAAGAGGAAAACGATCTTTCGGGCTTGTTTGGGGCTCCCCGATTCATCGCCAATTTTTCGCACCATTTGATGTACTTCGGCCCAAATTTCAGAGGTTAGTCAGTGGACTTGATTTTACAATCTTTTTCAATTCTAAAGATCTGTTTCTTGGAATCTAGCAAAAAAAGCAGGCGAAATCGCTGAGCGGCTGTGCTCTCTGTCTAGTACTACATAGAAAACTCGTAGTTCGTTCCATGATAGGGGAGCGAATCCTTCCACAATGTGGCCCTAAACATCAGTGTTTGCCCTAGTCTGGCGTAACAATTGCATTTCTTTCATTTTCATGTTGGCACATCATCTTAATGGGTACAGTAAGCTAGAAGAAGAAGAAGGCATTTAAGACTTTTGATTAACAACTGCTGTAGTATCATATAATCGACAGCGGGCTGATTGAGGGTCAGACCCCTATTTGCTTGGGTGCAATAAATCTTGCACTTCGCTACAACTCCATAAAAATGGGAAGTGGCCTAATTCGTGGAACCCTGTCGGGAACTACACGGTCAGATTCCGTAGGACAAATGCTATCGGTATGACAAACATCCCATCTTGACATAGTCACTCTTTTCACCAGCATCCCACTACTGTTTTCAGGTGCTGGGGAGCACGATCAGCCT